GAATTTGAATCTGGCCCATGTGTGTCTCCTCCCATGGAATGTCTCTCGACTGCTCACCCATGGTCCATGGAATATCTCTCGATTGCTGTTTGATGGCATGGTCTTGACCTATACTTCGCTGCTTGCAGGATAAGCGCTCATCTATAAGTAGGCAAATGGCGTATGCATTCTGGATGATCTATTTTGCTCAACTGTTACTCGACACCACGTGTGTCATCGATAAAGATTTCCGAGGTCGTCAACACCACGTATGTCATCGACGATAAAGATTTCCGAGGCGGTCAACACCGCGTGTGTCATCGATGATAAAGATTTCCGAGGTGGTGTGCAATGTGCATGCATCGAGTATCATGATGCAGTAATGATACTCCTCGTGCGCGGGTACACACTGTGCGTCATCCACCACCACTAAATTTCTGAAGTGGCATGCAATACGGTGCGGATTGTGGCCCCTAACTATTCCTAAACTGGCATCTAATAGAAGTCGCCGGTTCAGCTTGCAGATCGTCCCCCTACCTGTTCCTCTTGTTTTTTTTTTTGTTTTTTTTTTGCCTGAAGTGGCGTCTAGCAGAAGTCGTCAGTTCAGCAGCTTGAAATGCACTATGCCTGCAGCTGGGTTCACATCACTCACAGCTCAAAGCTCACAGCTCACAGTGCAGGGCAAACCCACAGTGATCTGGAAATTGAACTCCAGCCCTGCTTCCTGCCTTATGAGAACTGGTAGTGGTTTCAACCCTTCCCTCTCCTCCCCCCACTCCTCCCCCCCCCCTCCCAAATTTTGCACCTGGGGTGGTTACCACAGGGCTTCCCCATATTTCAGGTGGCTCATCGGATCGCCAAGACAGCAGCCACGGTTCTTCCGACTTTTTCTTCCATCCCATCCACAGATAGTGTGTGACGCCCAGAGGACGGTCACAACAGGGGAGTGGCGGTTTCATGCTTCGGATGCTAGCGCGGATGTCGTTGCAGACATGCTCGCACTATGGGTAATCTGACGGGTAACTGTATAGTCCACACATTAACATGCATAAAGACGTCTACCGTCTTCCCCGAACACAACTCACCCTCAATATGACTGCATCCAACCGGAAAGACGCCTTGTATACATTCCGAATCAGGTTGCGTTATGTTCCGGGGGAAGACGGTAGCGTGCGCATTGCCATAAGACTCCGCTCGGCACCGGACACACACCAGCTCCTGAGGTCTCTCCTTCTTTTCTGAGAACCTCAAGCACTCTCCGATGTCCTTCGAAAATCATTTGTCGCTGAACTGCCGCAGCTCTGACAAATGATTTTCGAGAACCAGCTTGATTCCATCAATACTAGGGCCCGTTAAGTATCCCTCCAAGACCGCAGTTTTGCACTCGGCAGATATTTGGCTGGCTATCTGCTGCACTCGACTCTGCACAGCTTCCGGTCCACTAACTACAGGGTCGAGCAAGTTGCAAGCAACCTCCAGACAGCCACTGCCATGTCTTAAGGCCATGGCCTGGACATGGGGAAGGCCCCCTCCCCGGGCACTGACGGCCTTCGCGATCTGCTGGCATAGCTTCATATCCTGCGTCAGAATAGGAACGTTGAAATTGATCATCCACGGACAAGCACCAACGACAGTAACCCCTGCAGCGGACACGAGAGCAGCAGGACCAGCAGCAGAAGAAGGTCCATAGTCCGGCGGAAGCGGCACTTGAGCAGCGATGGACGTAATACTTGTCTGGGTTCTAGACGACTGCGTTTGCAGTCGAGATGACTGTGTCTGGGGTTGAGATGAGTGTGATGGCAAAGGAGAGAAAGGAAGAGGCAAGAGAGGAGGGAAGGAATGACCCTTCCACTTTCCAGAGCTCGCCCCTGCAAAGAAGCCAAGGGAGCGGCGCAGTTCGTCCAGCGGGCGATGACCAGGATGCGCCCAGCCATACAGATACGTTGGGATGTTCAAATCAGTCCCGATTTCCATGGCGATGTTACGGGCAGCCTGAGCGGCTGCAACTCGCCGCTCTTCAGTCAGCGGGCCCAGAGGATGCACGGATATATGGTCCACGGACCCTAGCCGCGGGTGCAAAGCCTCCTGCTTGCGGAGGTCGATCGACGATATCGCACGGGAAGCAAGAGTGACCACCATCCTTTCCAAGAACCCAGAGTGGCCCGCGATGGTGAATCCCGTGCGGTTGAAGGGCTCGTCGGGGAAGACGTGAACCAGACAAGCGGGTCCCTTGCTCGGCGACAGTCCGTCTTGCAGATGATCGAGGACATCTTGGTTCCGACCTTCTGAGACATATACTTTACAAACAAGCCACGGAGTGTTCGAGTCGACACTGAAACTCGCATCGTCGTGGGGCATCATGCTCAGCAATCGGCAACCACTGGTCTCGGTACCGAGTGGGCATCTGCGTTGGGAAACTGGGTAAACGGACCGAATTGGAGCTGCCACTGCTGGGAGTCGAACGGACAATAATGCATCGAGAACACTTCGCCGTGCTCGCAGCAGCACCATGATTACTGCCTGTCTATCTGTCTGCCCACTGGTACCTGTCGGTCGACCGCTCAATTACGACTGAAAATGACACCTGGTTAACCAGAGAGATCTCAGACCTCAGACTTTGTGCGATACCACGACGGACATTTCCAAACGCTCCCCGTGAAGCAGTCTCATCATGACACCGTGACAGACATGTCCCAGAGCAGCTTTCTCATAATAATGATACCATGACACGAAATAGTTCCCGATTGGACATGAGATGAAGTACTGGCCCACAGCATCATAGCTGCAAAGACAGTCAAGGGTTTCAGATGTGGAAGGAAAAGACAAGACAAGGGAGGAGTAAAGCTCCTCTGCAAGATTAGCATGGCCCCTGCGCAAGGATGACACGCATAAAACGAGAAATGGTCCAATTTTTTTTCTTTTCTTAAGAAGAGTTTTGAGGACCGATGGGAGCAGATGAAAGAACAGGGTGGACGAGGGGTTGAAACGAGGAGATATGTAGCTGAAGGAGAAGAGGAGGTGAATCACAGAGAGGAGGAGATGAAAGATAAGGGTAGATGAGGGAAAAGAGGTAGATAAAGGTTCGGTGAGCGAGTAGGAACTTGCGGCAACACAACCGAGTTGAACCGATAAAGAAGCAGTGTACCAGGACCAAAACACAATCAACAGCCAACTGGTGGACCCACAGGTGGATTTTGAGGCAAGGGTTGAAGGCTCCTGATCAGGTGAAGTTTCTGATGTAGGGTCAGGTGAAGTTTCTGATGTAGGGTAGATGGGTCACAAATACAGCACAAAAAATTCTCTTTAATGGACCCACAGGTGGGTTTTGAAGAAGGGTTAAAGGCTCCTAATTAGGTTTAATTTCTGATCTAGGGTAGATAGATCACAAATACAGGTCCGTGTTGTGGCACTTTCCTTTCCCACCCCCTTCTGCAAGACAGCCAGGTCCGTAGTCCAGCTTCTGAAGTCAAAACTGCATCCAAACGAGGGTGCACAACGAATACGCACACATTGTGTACAGGTTGCGCAAATTTTACCTCTGGACTAAAAACACTAATGCGCTCCTGGTTTTCACACCAACTGCTCCGTTCCACCACGAGTCCATTCGATGGTGACCTAATTTATAGCCATTCCCTGCAGGGAAGCCGATGACAAGTGCCACAGAGTAGGGACAAGAACAGACTGAAGAGAGCAGCCACAAGAGGAGTTCTGGTGTCCCACAACTGGCCACCTCTACTGTCCCACAAATAATTGGCCCCTTGTGGTGTCCCACAAGTAGCCACTTCTAGTGTCCCACAAGTGGTTGGTTGGTCACTTGTGGCGTGTCCCACAAGTGGTCGGTCACTTCAACTCACTTGCCACGTGTCCCACACAGCACAGAGTTGATCCACCAAGAAAACAAAGGATACCCATAAACAGTATTAAACACCCAGGAGGGAGGGGAAAAGAAACAAAAAGAGGAAAACAGAGCAGAGGAGTTGTGGTGGTGTAGCAAAAGTGCTTGGTCCTTTGCGGCGGTGTTGGAGAAGTAGTCGGTCACTGGTCGTGTGCCCCAAGAGTGGGACATTAGGGACACTACACCACAGAGCTCGAGCACCAAGACACAAAAGATAACCACGACAAGACGAAGAGGAGGCAGTTCAAGGAAGCGACCAGGAGGACACAATTGACACACTGACAGACTTATGGTGACCAGAAAATTCCAAGATTGCCCTCTCTAATCAGAAACTAATGTCATCTGCACCACTCCGCTAGCACGATGCCACTCCTTTAGCAATTGTGGAAGTGACGTTGCCGTCAACTGCCAAACAGAATGGACCCCAATCATGAATGCACACAAGCTATTTTTCTGGCCCGATACGTTAACAATGAAGGTGCATTGTGTTCCAGGGAAGATGATACATAGTTTGCAGTTGGAATATACCACAACCATGAGCAATCATCGAGAGGCCAATCATGGACGGGACAATCACGCAGCGGGCAATCATGGAAAGGCCAATCACAGAGGGGCCAATCATGGAGGCCTGTGCATGTAACTGGCTGTTAGCTACAGCCCACGCAATCTCGGAAGAAGAAAAAAGACGGATACAAGAGAGAGAGAGAGAGAGAGAGAGAGAGAGAGAGAGAGAGAGAGAGAGAGAGAGAGAGAGAGAGA